AGTTCCGGCGAGTGAGTTTCACTTGCTCAGGCGGTGCAATGAAAATTATTCAAATGAAAGCATTTCATACATGTTCTTCCCGAAGTGATGAAAATCATTAATGAGAGCATGAGCAAGATCAATCCGGCTACTGATAAATTGTAACCGGCAAACGAGCACAGAGCAATCGCTACCAGGGTATCATAGTTTGCCGCTAATGTACGAGCAGTCACAAGACTGGGTCTCCACACCACATCCACTGAAGTATCGAGCCTGAAGCACGAACCACAACGATTACAAAAACTTGTTTGAAAAAGCGGATGAAAGAAATTCCAGCACTGCTGAGGAATAAGAGAACTGTCTGCCCGGCGTGTTTAAACGATGGCTGAAGATAAAGTAGTCCCGATAACGCGGAAAGGCATTCCAACTCGACTATCTTTCACCCAGGTGTTCCGCGTGAAACTGACGGCAGCAAACTTCAACTCATTATCCTTCCAACTCATACCCCACTCCTACTGCAGTCGTAAAGCTCTGCTGCTCACAAATTCAAGCCACAAAAACCTCATGTTCCAGCCAAACAGAAAAGCAGATAAAAAATCAGCACAGTCTGACCAGCCGAAGATATGAAAAGTTTTAAAACATAATAAAAAGCGCCGCGCACCACGATAGTCGATGTGGCCATGTGTTTTGCGCAGTCCCGTCTAACGAACCTTTGCCTGCTAAGGATTTTCATGTCTGTACGTTGTCCGGTCCCAGACTGTGAAGTATATGACTAAAAATTTCGTTCACCGATACGTGAAATGCAGGCGTACGTGAAAGCTGAATTTAAAACCTTGGACGATGAACATTCTCCCAAAATTTCAACCTCTTAGTTTTTTCGTTCCCGAGTGATTCTTGAGACCTCGATATATCTGTGAGTTAAATTCGAATCTGTGAGGTCTCTATATACACAAAAAACACTACCCTGAAATTTTAAACCTCCTAGTCTTTCAGACTCCTCTCGCCAAAAACTTCGCGGGGCTGTGATGAGACCAAGGTGTGCATGAAAGCTGAATTTGTGGAGTTATACGTGAACAAGGGACATCCCCTAAAATTTCAGCTTCCTAGCTTTTGTGGTTCCCGAGTTAATAATTGGCCGCACGTATTACCTAGGCGCGCAGAAGGGCTGATTTTAAATTTGTTGGATTGCATGTGGACGGGAACGTTCCATTTCAGCTCGCTAGTGTTTGTAGTCCCTGAGCTCAAAGTACACGACAAAATGCACTTCGACACACACACACATACACATAAACAGGGGCAAGACAATATGCGTTTTGTGTTGCTGTTACACAGAGCAAGACGCGTAATAAAAAAAGTGTCTTGGCGCCGCCGACGCACATTTGAAACGTCATGCTAATAACTCCATTACGGAAAATAGAAACCTTTTTATATGTGCGAAAATGAGCAGAAATATGAAGGCGGATGGCAACCACAGGACAGATGCTAGGGTTGGAACAGCGGCTGAGAGCCACTGATCGGAAGAGAGTGCCGGCCAGTCGGCATACATCAGAGTATACATGTAAAACAGGCACACATATAAGATACCTGCAAACAGTCCAAACAGAAATCAACAATTACTAAGCGCAGCACGGCCAGCAGGAAAATCGACCTCTCTCTAGCGTCTGAAACAATCCCAGGAACATGGAACGCAGTTCTCGAAAAACTGAATCACAGAACCGCATACGACCGTGCTATTCACTGTCCCGTGCAACGCAACGCATGACAGAGTGAGGAGCACAGCTGTCTGTAACTTCCAGTTCGATAACAGCAAATCACTCGGCCACAATGAATTTGCCCTTCCGTGCATCGGCCCTACGGCAGAAAGTGATATCCGGAAATAACAGCTGAATGACAGCAATCTGTTATCCACAAGCAAGGCTGCTGGCGGTTCACTCGCCTAAAGGTTAATTCAGAGGCAAGCTCGATGCAGCATCCTGGAAAGCGCAATCACCAGTTCGCCATCAAAATGAATTGCAGAACGATGTGGTTCATCACCAAAGAGGTGCAACAACTGAAAAATGAAAAGGGCGACTAACAAGCAAAGAAACAAATGAACGGGGTGATCACCCCAATTACCGCTAGCCATCAAGTGCATTTTCTTGAAATCCCCTAAGCAGCACCGCCCGGGAATGCCCACAAAATTAAACATTTTCTAACAAGAATCTCAATGCACAACGGCGCCAACTAAATATGACATGTGTGCATGTATATACAGTATATATACAACATATATACATGTCATATTTTAGTTGTGCCCTGAGATCCTTATACACATATGTACATGTACATAAATATGTACGTGTGTGTACATATACATATGCATACGTATACATATATACACGTGTGTATATACATGCACATGCACACATATATGTACATATATATACATATATATGTGGTGCTGTATTAGCTGAAATTTTTTTCTGGTTGTTCCTTTGTGCATCGCGTACAGCTACCACGGCGAACCAATAAAACAAAGCGAAGAAAAGGGCGACTAACAAGTAAAGAGACAAATGAACGGGGTGACCCACTCCAGGCGATTGGCATCTTCTAGCGAAACTGACGCGATTGATGCTCGGCGTACTGGTCGCGCTGTGCTCGGCGCACTGTCTAGACGATCCACATCGAGATGATAGCGATGATGCGTGCCACCATCCACATACCGCATCACGTAGAACGGCACAAAGAAAAGCACCTACAATCCAAAAAAAAACTGCTACTGCTACCTCTTTCACTGCTCTCTTCCATTGAAAATCATCAACAAAAATTATGGTTTTACAATAAGATCATTATGCGTTGCACAAACTCGTGCAGACAAGCAGTTAGCGCTGCACCAAGAAGCCACAACTAATAAAATGAACGAATATTCAATTAATCGATGGAAAACATTGCGATAATATTGCTAGCAAAATCTCCAGACTGGAACACGAACAACTGTTATGCAACAGCGAAAAAACAGTTAAACTCAAGATATATTTTAAAATTAAGGAAAGCCGGTGCACTCGTATTCCTTCTGTTTTTGAGCTCTTCAAGCATAAGTATGCCACCGATTCTACTTGGTGAGATTGTGGAC